TACATCATTGCCTTTTCTCTTTTACTTTCCTTTTTAGTTTTATTTTAGGATTCCCTATTTTTAATGTTCATACAGAGATTTCTTTAACTGAAATACCGAATAGTTTCTCTGGTGTGAAAAACTATAATAGTACACAGGATCCTAATGAGATAATTAATAATGTGAAATAGGAAGTAAAGGGCTAAAGGTGTAGGGAAAGTGGGAAGGGTGGGGGAGAGGTAATAAGGGAGAGGAAAAAAATATGAGAAACTGAAAAAATGGAAATAAAGTGTTTGTAAATGGGGAGGGGAAGAGAGGGTGAAGGGAGGGCAGGGACAAGGGGAAAAAATGAGAATCAAGACCTATTATGTAAAGGTACAGGATCCCTATGATGAATGTAACTGTACTGTATACCTAGATTGTACTAATAAACTCAATTAAAAAAATAAAATTAAAGGGGAATGGTAATATGCCAGCTAAATGACACGTGGATTTTGAATCGGTTAAAGTAATACTGCTAGGAAGGATGTTCTTACTTAGTCTGTTTTCTGTTGCTGAATCAGAACACCACAGACTAGGTAATTTATACAGGAGACTTCATTAAGCCATGGTTCTGGAGCCTGGGAAGCCCGAGGACAAAACCCCTGTGTCTGGTGAGGGCCTTTGTGTTGTATCCTTGCTCCATATCAGAGCCACTCTGAGGAAGGAACCAAGCCACTCCCAGCCACTCCATAACCCAAAGGGGCCCAAACACCTTTCCTGGGCCCACCTGCAACACCAACGGCACCAACACAGCTAGGGGGCCTGAGCCAGCGCGGATGTTCCCCGGAAGTGCAACCAGGGACCGAATGGTGAACACTAGCACAGACCCGGGTAGGGTTTTGGAATTGGATTGTTGCACTGTGGTTGAGTAACTCTCAGGACACACATTCCGCAGGTCAAGGGCCATGATTTCTGCAACTCAATCTCAGCTGATTCTGGAAGCAAATGCTTATTGACCATTTCAAAGTTCCCAATTAAAAAAAAAAGGACACAATTTCCCATGATAAATGTTATCATTTTGTATATCTAATGTGTACCAATAAAATGAAAAACCAAATCACTCTTGTGAACAGTGTCCTGTCAATGTCTTCACAAGTGTGACTCCTTTCTTCCTTTGTTCCTGTTTCTAGGTTAGGAGCAGCAGATCACCATGCAGGATCCGAGGCTCTGTGGGCAGCGTGGCTGGTTTCTGCAGGGTGCAGAGAGCAACAGCACCACAGGCCTCTGGTTCTGGACACCCTGGGGCTGTTGGGAACTGAGGGTCTCCTCCCCTGTGACCTGAATGAAATTCGACTTGGGACAATAGGGCATTTATGATTACTGGCAGGAGATTTTCCTATGAACCCCAGGGTGAAGTTTCTGTGTGCAGCACCTCTTAATGGCCCAGAGCAGTTGTGAAAATCAGTATGAATCCAAAATGTAAAAGAAGACCTACTGGACCTCAGAAATGCCCAGTTGAAAATAAATAAAAATCACTGCTGATGGAGTGTGAGCTACTTGAGCTACTTTGGAAAGCAGGTTGGCGCTACCCTTTAAGATGGACCGTTAGCCTGGCCGATGCCTCATTCTTCTTTCTCCTGTCCAGAAAAATGCCTGCCCATGGCTCCACAGGACAAGCCACTGGTTTGTTGGAACTGTCACAATGGAAGTAACACGATGGGGAGCAGGTACAGAAATATGGTGTAGTCACATGTGGGCCGTGCTAAGACAGTGACAACCAGTAAAGTGCAGCTATGCTCACGGGTCCAAGGAACTCTGAGAAACATTGAGGGGAAAGAATGAAAGGCTCCTAAGTCTACTTACTGAAGAGCATTATTTTAAAAAGTAAAAAAGCAGCTGGGTGTGGTGGCTGCACACCTGTAATCCTACTACTGGGGAGGCTGAGGAAGGAGGATTGCTGCAAGTTGAAACCCACCTGGGCTCCCTAGTGAGTTCAAGGCCATCCTGGGCTGCAGTGTGAGACCCTGTCTCAAAAAAATCATACACACACACAACACACCCCAAAATAAAGTGAAACAAAGTAAAACAGTTTGAAAAAAGTTCCAACAGTTTATTGGATATACATGTTTGTATTCAAGACTCAGTTTTTAAAACAAGGGAATGATGGATGGAAAACTTAGGCCGGAGCCAGGGTGTCAGAATTAGACAAGAAGTACAGAGGGACGAGCGATGCTCTTTCTTAAACTGGGGGAGGGACTCAGTCAATTTCACTCCTAGGCTTCGTATCCGTCATCCAGGTTACAGACAGGTACCGAAAAACATTATATACAAAACCCACCAATAACTCTATTCCTCCAAGGGTGCCTGTGTTACTTTACTCTCACTGCTGAGACAAAACACCCGACACCCAAAGCGAAAAGAGAAAAGGTTTACTTAGCCCACGGTTCATAGAGGTTTCAGTCCAGGACTGACTCCAAGGCAGGGTAGCACACGGGCAGGGTTGCAGAGGAGAAACAGTTCACAAAAAGCAACTAGGAAACCTGAGCAGCATCTCCCTGCTCCTTTGTCTTCTCCAGGCCACTTAGGGTGGGCAGCGCTCACACTCTAACCCTTGAGCCTAGCGCTGCACCAGGAATTGATCTCAGCCTCCCATACTCTAGACCCAGCCACCTCTGAAAAGCCCCACTAGGACCGCATGAGGCTTTAGCGGGGACAGCTAGACACAGTTTTGACAGAGGGATACACTGAGTGCCCCGTTTGCAAATAAAAATGTAGATAAAGTCAGAAAGTCATTACATTTTTAGAATTGGAAGAAACTTTCAAGATGTTCATCTAATCTAAAATGTAACCATTTAAAAATTATAAGTAGGGCCAGGATTTAGCTCAGTGGTGCCTCAGCCTGCCTCACAAGTGCAAGGTCCTGAGTTTGACCCCCAGTACCAAAAAAAAGAAAAAAAAATTATAAGTACTAGCAAACATTGTAGTTCAGGAAATCGAGGAAGGCTTTATAGGCATAAAAAATGGTAAAAGGAAAGAGAAAAGTCGAGAGGCTTTGAATTAATTAAAAAGTTAACATCATGCATTGAATCATTGTAAGCATAATTAAGCCAAATGATAAATTGGGATAAAAATTTGCTGCATATATGACAGCCTAAGGATTAATACCCCTACTGTAGGAGGATCCTATGTAAATTAATAAGAACAATACTAAAAATCAATGTTAATTCATAGAAGAAAATACATAGCCAAGAAAATGATTGAAAAAAATCAGTTTTCCTAGCAATCCAGAGATTAAAAAAAGCAACCCTAACATTTTAGTAAAGAGAGCATTTGGGGCCTGGGGGTATAGCTCAGTGGTAGAATGTTGTTTAGCACGCCAGGGACTCTGATTCAAATCCTGCGATGGCAGGGTGAGAGGAGAGATTAAGAGATTTCATTTTTCATTCATCAAAATAACAAAGAATTAAACAGTTGTATCTGTAGCTCTTGGTATTGATGAGGGTTTTGTAAAATAAGTTCTCAGTCTTCTATCAGAGGATTTAAACCAGCTGTGGTGGTGAAAGCCTGCAATTCCAGCACTGGGGAGGCTGAGGCAGGAGAATAGCTGCGTACCAGAGGCCAGCCCGGGCTACATAGTGAGTTCAAGTTCAGCCTGAATGCATAGCGAGAGCCTGTCTCAGAAAAACAAAAAGAAAATAAAAAAGCAAACAAACAAAGGCTCAACAGCAAACAATTTCCACACAGTTGAAGCTCAGCCAGCGCACTCCCTCTCCAAGGGCCTTCTCCCTCCTCCACTCAGCAAGCCCTCTGCCAACTTCCCTGTGGGCCAAGGAACAGACCCAGCTCCTGCCCTAGGGTTCAGGTGCCCAGCGAGAGCACGAAAACCTCAGCCAGCCAGTCATCAGGAGGGAGGCGACGCTGGAGGTTTGAAGCCAATCTGAAGGGCAGGTAGGGGTCCTGCGGGGTGGGTGGTAGGAAGCGCGGGCCAAGGGCCGAGGCGGCAGTGCCAGAGTCCCAGCCGCGTGGCTGGAGGCGGCCCACG